CTTTGGTGAGAAAGTGAATCGTGACTTTAGAGATAAAGTGGAGTTTAAATATGCTGGACTGCAGAACAGCTCCATAGTTATCAGGAGGGTGACGGAGGAAGATGAAGGATGCTATCACTGTTTGTTTAACACCTACCCTGACGGAGCTCTCACTGGTTCAACCTGCCTCCAACTCTATGGTAAGAACCTTACAGTGTTATTAAAGACATCTCCATCATCCTTAAAGTCTGTCCTGTAAAAACTTGATGTGATGTTTTTAAATGTGTGGTGTGTGCAGAGCTGCATGAACCCGTTCTACATGTCAGAGAATCAAACTCTCCTGAAGAGGCAGTTGTGTCCTGCTCGGCCACAGGTCGACCTGCTCCCACAGTAAGACTGACTGTCCCTCACTACAACTCTACCAGTGTCACCAACACCAACGCTACAGTCACTGTCACCGCTACAGCCGTGGTGCCTCGTCTCCATGGCAACAGCACACAGGTTGGATGTGCAGTGCGAGTGCTCTCTGGTCCTCAGATAGAGGTGTTTACCATGATTCCTGAGGTCACACTGTCGTCTGCTGATGGTGAGAAACACTTGAGAAGATACTGACTGATAGACTGATAAATACTTTATGGTTCTGATGTTTGAGTTTCTTTTTCCAGGTGTTGATGAGGAATCTGGGTCTGATAACAGTGATCTCAGTAAGTGAACCTTTATGTGGTCTCATGTCAGTCTCACCATTTGATTTGTAGTTGCTTTATGAATGTTGAGTGTTACTAATTTTCCTCTCTTCTCACAGATGTCACTTTGATCACTGTGTTGGTCGTGGTGTCCTGTGTTTGTGTTGCTGCTGCAGTCATCATCATCCTGCTTATAAGGAAACATCATGACAGGTGATTTTAAACTTTAATCACCTGTCTTGTTGTAACACCAGTGTCTCACAGTTAATATAATAATGATTGACTGAGATCTTTTAGGACAAACCCCACAAATAAATGTTTGTTCAGCACTGACTTTTCTTAAATCCTTCAGGCTGTCACACAGAGACTCTGAGGAGAACAAGACGCCACGAAGAACAACCAAAGACACTGAAGAGTGAGACACTTTCCTACTGTTGTTAAGTCATTCTTGTGAACTCACAGTCAGCATGTTTATTCCTCTGTTGTTCAGAGGAATCCAGTTATAAACATAAGTATGGTGTAATGTAATAATGTGAGTGTCTTCTTCTACTTCAAGGAACGGAACACTTGTAGCCATGCAGGTCAGACGACGGACACCTACTGAGAAAAATCAGAAAAGGGACCAGCCATCTTCAGCAAATGTCCTCTAATATGTCAGACAGACTGTAGTGGCAGTACTCGGACTGTGAGACCTGAACATAATGTGAGAAAGTGTGTTTTTACATGTTTATACCATTTCATGTTTATATGATCTTTTTAATAGCATTTGATAATCATTTTCACATTGAGTCACATATCTCTGAAGTGACCTTTATGAGCTCCATTTCATGGTCAGGAGAACATCTTAAACAATGAGCTTATCCAATAAAGTAGGATGTTTGCTGACTTATCTAGAGGTCATTTTTAGCTTCATGCTCCTCATAGTCAAACTTCTGATACTACTAATAACAACAGTGGACCATGATGCCTTTTGTTCAGATTGATTTGTTCCCACCTGTGACTCGATGTCAGCAGCAGATTACTAAAAGAAGCTGTACCAAACAACCTCTCCTGCTGCTTTTTGTGTGTGTGTGTGTGTGTGTGTGTGTGTGTGTGTGTGTGTTTTTTTTATTGGCTCCTCAATCAAGTACACTATAACATCTGTAATGTAAAAGTATTGTTTTACATGTATTAGTTGTTGCTCAGGTGCATTTGTAAAACAATACAGCTGTATTTGTTTTATCTTTGTTAAATGTATTTTAAGTAAAGTGTGTTTTTTTTTGTGATTTTTGTCATATATGGATTTTATTTATCATCTGTGGTTACTTTATTGTATCACAGCTAACACATACACCTGCAACAATATCAACATGCAACATCACCGTCATTCTTAAAAGAAAATATTGGAACAGGTAATTTTAGACTTTAACTCCACAACTGTCTTGTTGTAAAACCAGAGTCTCACAGTTAATATAATAATGATTAAGATCTTTTCAGTCTGTCACACAGAGACTCTGAGGAGAACAAGATGCACATGACAAGCATCAAAGACACTCATAAGTATGACGTGATATTTTAATGTTATGAGTGTTTTCACTTCTGTATAATGTTTTCATTGTCCTGGATTATATCCAGAGGAAGTAACGCTCCTGACATCAAGGGCGTAAGTTTTGTTTCAATGTTGGAGGGGACATATGAAGCAGGGTTTGGGGTCCTCCAGCAGGAAATTTGGGCCATCAAACACTTGATTTCCTGCATTCTGGTGAATTCTATGCACCAAACTATGGTGGAAATGTCTCTATTTATTTATTTTAGCATTTTCAGCATGTATTGTTAATATTACACCCACATCGACCAACTCATCTGGAAGTTACCTGTGGACACCTGCGTGCAGCTTCTGTATGAAGAAGAAGGAAGGCAGTTAATAACAGGACTAACTGAAGAAAAGCACAGTATAACATTGGGGAATCTACTTAGAAAGACAACAAGGAATATCCATAAACCTCTACTAAATTATTTAAGAGTAACAGGACTAACAGAGGATTAAGTCTTTTTCTTGTTTCGCCATTTCCAGTCCAGTAGGTGGCGGTAAAGCACCTGAAAGCTGCCATTACAACTCAAAGAAACTAGACAGAGAGACTGAAATATCAGCGGGAGCTAAATATGCCACAACATGTCGTTATTTTTTTACTTTGTGCGTTGGGACTCATTCAGAAAGGTAAGTAGCCGAGTTTACTGTGTAAACCTGCTGCACATAGAGACAACTTAAACTTCCGCATATTGACAGTAGATACAGTACAGTAAGAAGTAAAGATGTGACACCATGCAGTCATACATTTCTTTTGCTCGGTGTGAGTCTTTCAGAAAGATGAGGAAGTGATACATAAATCTGTCTTTCTCATATTTTATACAGTACAGGCCTGTATTTGATTTATTTCTCTTAGCCTCAAACTGCAGGTCATTTTTGTTGAATTAATTAATTAATTAGCTAATTAATTACTCTACCAGTGTCACCAACACCAACGCTACAGTCACTGTCACCGCTACAGCCGTGCTGCTTCGTCTCCATGGCAACATCCAACGTCCTCAGATAGAGGTGTTTACCATGATTCCTGAAGTCACACTGTCAGACAACAGTGTGATGGTGAGAAACACTTGAGAAGATACTGACTGATAAATACTTTATGGTTCTGATGTTTGAGTTTCTTTTTCCAGGTGTTGATGAGGAATCTGGGTCTGATAACAGTGATCTCAGGAAGTTAACCTTGATGTGGTCAAGACACTATAAGAAAAAATCAAAGACACTCCCCTACTGTTGTTATGATTTATACATGGATGGTTCTTCACTAAATGATGTCCACACTTTGTTTATTTGAGAATTTATTTTCCTCCCAACTTGTCCCTATAAATGTATATTTGTACATGAAGTCATTATTGTGAACTCACAGTTACCATGTTTATTCCTCTGCTGTTCAGAGGAATTCACTTATAGAAATATGTGTAATGTAATAATGTGAGTCTTCTTCTGTCTCAAGGACCCACACACCTGTAGGCAAGAAGGACAACAAGCCGATCAGACAACGGACACCCTAAGAGAAATGAGACAAGTGTAAATAAAGTGAGTGTAAATTGAGTTGTAAATTATGCATCGCAGGTTGATTTCAGAGGTCAGCCTCTCCTGCTGCTCTGTGTGTGTGTGTGTGTGTGTGTGTGTGTGTGTGTGTGTGTTGGCTTTGTATGATTTCTGTTTTATGGTGTTTGAATCTTTATAAATTATGTTGGTTGCCTTATTTCTTTTTATGAAGCCCTTTGTGATGTTGTGCTCTAGAGCGCAGCTCGGGCCGCATTTTCCTGACCGAACGCGACCCGAGTATGACAGTTATAACCGAACCCGACCCGAACCCAACAGACTTTCTGATTTTTAAGTCCGAACCCAACCCGAACCCGACGCAGTTTGTTACCTGACACAGCTTGTCTGTTTACCGTGATCATACATGGACAGTGTGTAAGTGACCATCAAAAGGCTGCTGTTACGCACAGTCAAACAAGCCGCACACACAGCAGCTCAGCAAAGCACACGCACTCAGTTGGAGCAGACTCAATAGACACACGCTGTGGCCTAACCTATTACCCAATGTCACGCACACACTACACTCACACAGTACACAAATATAATTAAATTAGAGTGTTACCACTTTCCTGTTGGCAAGTTTTGTCTAGCGTCCTCCATTTGCATTAGTTCAGTCTGAATATTTAAGGCCTACTGCCTGAAATGTAACTATTGGCCTGTGTTGCGTTCAGTCACATATATTACAAATTCCAGCACTTGAATAGGCCACAGCACAACGCAGCAGCATGTCAAGTGGGCTGAACCAGAGCAAAATTTCTGATTTGTTATTTGGCACCCATCGAGGGGTCCCATTGGGCTTGGGTCGGGTATCCACACTCTATTGTGCTACGTATATGAGTAAAGTTAACCAGTGTGGTAGCTGCATTTGATGTAATTCACTGCTCACATCTTGTAGGTCTTATGTCTAAATGTGACTGTTGAATGGTTGTGTTGAATCTGTCTGCTGCAAACCAAATCGCCCTCCAAGGGACAAATTAATAAAGTGAAGTGAAGTGAAGTGAAGTGAAGTGAAGTAGCTAGCATGGTGTTAGTTGTTGATGTTAGCCAGTGATACTATAGACCAGGGGTCAGCAACCTTTACTATCAAAGGAGCCATTTTTGGCCAAAAAGATGTTAAAAAATCTGCCTGGAGCCACAATACATATTTGTGCCTTATAGTGACGGCAACACAGCCTATTTAATCTATATGTGGCTGAAGTAGTCGAACTCGTTACTAGTCTCCACTCAGTCTGAAACGTCACACAACTGGTCGTGTTGGCTTGTGGAGAAGCAGATCCATCTCATTCCCTGATCCATTTATTTTTGTTTACAACTGTCTCAACGTCACCCGGCCACCTCTTAAAGATTTTTGTTCAAGCCTCTTGCTTGTTTTTTCTGCACCTTTGATGAAACTATTTTTTTAAACCCATTCCTAATAGGTCTAAATGAGCATTCATTACTGTATTTTACAACAAAGCAGCTACTCTGCAGTGGGCTAGTTATGAATATTTGGTACTTAAACTTTGCAGCGTTAGTGGTGAAAGCTAACAAATCTGTCCACTTTAAATGGAATTCTCTATTTTCCCCTGAGACATTTTCTTTTTTTGATTTGGAATCAAAACTTAGCCTCACTTCGGAGACTCAAGCTTAGCCATCGCTATTGAGATAAGCTACAGCAAATTTCAGGAGAAGGCAACAGGCTGTGACGAGATGTAAAAACATTTTGTTTATCCGGTACATAGGATTCACATTTAGGCAGAGAGAGAAGAGGAAAGGCTAGAGTCTTGAACTACGAGCAGGAACTTCGAATGTTGGGACTATGACAGGGAAAGCTAGAGAGCTGGCTGACATCATGCAGAGGAGGAAGGTGGATATACTGTGTGTTCAGGAGACCAGGTGGAAAGGTAGCAAGGCTAGAGGCTAAGGAGCAGGATTCAAGCTGTTTTATCATGGTGTGGATGGGAAGAGAAATGGAGTCGGAGTTATCCTGAAGGAGGAGTTTGTTAGGAATGTCCTGGAGGTGAAAAGAGTATCAGATTGGGTGATGAGTTTGAAGTTAAAAATTGAAGGTGTGATGTTCAGTGTTGTCAGTGGCTATGCCCCACGGGTAGGATGTGAGTTAGAAGAGAAGGAGAAATTCTGGAGTGAGTTAGATGAAGTGATGCAGAATATCTCCAGAGGTGAGAGAGTGGTGATTGGTGCAGACTTCAGTGGTCATGTCCGGGCAGGGAACAGAGGTGATGAGGAAGTGATGGGCAGGTTTGGTATCCAGGATAGGAATGCAGGAGGGCAGATGGTGGGAGACTTTGCAAAAAGGATGGAAATGGCTGTAGTGAATACTTTCTTCCAGAAGAGGCAGGAACATACCGTAAGAGCAGAGGTAGGAGCACACAGGTGGACTTCATCTTGTGTAGATGATGTAATCTGAAGGAGATCAGTGACTGCAAAGTCGTGGTAGGTGAGAGTGTAGCCAGACAACATAGGATGGTGGTGTGTAGGATGACTCTAGTGGTGAGGAAGCGAAGAGGACAAAGGCAGAGCAGAGGACGAAGTGGTGGAAGCTGAAAATGGAAGGGGGCTGTGTGGTTCTCAGGGAGGAGTTGAGACAGGCTCTGGGTGGCCAGGAGGTGCTCCCAAATGACTGGACAACTACAACCGATGTCATCAGAGAGACAGGTAGGAGAGTACTTGATGTTGTCATCTGAAAGGAAAGGAGATAAGGAGACCTGGTGGTGGAATGAGGAAGACAAGAGTGTATACAGAGAAAGAGGTTAGCTAAGAAGAAGTGGGACACTGAGAGGACTGAAGAGAGTAGACAAGAGTACAGGGAGATTCAGCATAAGGTGAAGGTAGAGGTGGAAAAGGCCAAAGAAAGGGTGTACAACAACTTGTATGATAGGTTGGACAGTAAGGAGGGAGAGACTGATTTATACAGGTTGGCAAGGCAGAGAGATAGAGATGGGAAGGACATGCAGCAGGTTAGGGTGACTGAGGATAGAGATGGGAATGTATTGACAGGTGCCGCAAGTGTGATGGGAAGATGGAAAGAGTACTTTAAAGAGTTGATGAATGAGGAAAATGAGAGAGAACAAAGAGTAGAAAAGGTGACCATTGAGGAGCAGGAAGGAGCAAAGATTAGTAAGGATGAAGCGAGGAGGGCATTGAAGAGTGGAAAGGCAGTTGGTCCTGAATTTTCCTGTGGAGGTATGGAAGTGTCTAGGAGAGGTGGCAGTAGAGGTTTTGACTAGGTTTTTCAACAAGGTCTTGTGAGTGAGTGAGAGGATGCCTGAGGAAAGAGGAAGTGTGCTGGTGGCGAACAAGCCAAACAAGTGAGAGTTGTGGCGACTAAAGAGGGATAAAGTTGATGAGCCATACAATGAAACGATTGAAAAGAGAAGTGGAAGCTAGACTAAGAGCAGAAGTGAGCATCTGTGAGCAGTGATGTAGTGCTGTAAAGTGTTGAAAACACAGAAGAGTCATACAGCAAGTGCGCAGTTTACTGGACTTCAGAGTCACAATTAGAAATAAGTGTGATTTCCAAAAAGGAAGAAAAAGTAGTCAGACTTACTCAATGTGACCTCACCTTTTACTACAGTAGTAGTCAAATCCAGTCAAATTGACTAATAAAATATTTGCGCTCTCATGAATTATCGATATGTTTTACCCTGAATGTCCAGCATTATAAATATGGTCTGTTTTCATATCGTGTAAATATCTATTCATCCACAGTCTCACACTTAAAGACTTCTCTCTGTTGATACATTTCCTTTAAAGCATTAATTCATTCCATAAATCCCCAGATGATATAATCAATGTGTTACTGACAGGCTCTCTAGAAAAACCCTACCCTCTCTCTCTCCTCCCTCTCTCTGCCCTTGAGGCCGCCCTTTAAAAGCAAGTCAGAGGCTTCAACTGAAAGTGTTTGTACAGTTGTAGAAGAAGATGATGTGGATCCTGATACTCACCGGTCTGCTGTTTAAAGGTAAGTGACACTCACAGGTGAGGGCGAGCCATTCTATAGTCACCGTTGTAGTTTTTTTTTTTATATTACAGAATAGACTCCAGCCTTGTAGTCAGATTATCATGTTGTCATTTGACATTCAGAGCACGGTTTGGGGTCCTCCAGCAGGAAATTTTGGACATCAAACACTTAATTTTCTGCATTCTGATGATTTTTTGCACCAATTCATGGTGAAACTGCATTTCTCTTTTTTGTCAAAATAAAAGTCTTAAATGTTCTCATTGGGCGGAGCAAATGCACATGGAGGGGACGTGCATGCTGCATCCTTCCTAAAATCCACTATCCCTCACAAGTAACCAGTTGAACAACAGAATCAGACCAAATTAATTTAATTCATTGTTATAGTTGACAATGACATGTTGTTTGTCCAGTGATGATTGTCTTTGGATAGTTATGGGGTCTTTAAATAAACTTCCTGGGACACAGAAACAAGGGTCAAAAACCAAGACCTCCATCTTGTCTTCAAAACATATCTGAAAATAAATGAGAGCAAACAGAAACGTTTTATCTTTTATCTCTTTTTACTGCTCCAGCCTGAACTCTGAATCAATCACGCTAAATGGAGAATTAAAATAATTTAACATAATAATCCTCTGACATGATGTTTGACAGAAATTAGTATTGAAATTAGTATTTTTCGACAATGGCCAGCAGTCTGTTAATGACTGAATAAAAAAACCCGCCATGACATCGATTAATAAAAACAAACAAACAAAAAAAAAAAACAGAAGAAGAAGAATCATTCCTGATTGATCTGGATGTAGGCCTACGATTGGTGGGCCTGAGCGTCTCCAGCTGTTTAGACTGTGTCACATTTTAAAAGGCTTAATAAACCAAAAATAACAGTATTTTGTTACACTAAAGGCCCTTATCAATTTTTCTCTAAGGATTGGTCGCTACACTGTCTGAAGGTAGGTGTTGATAGGACACCCATGGCGACCAACTTACCTCAAACTTTCCTGTAGACACCTGCGCGCAGCTTC